CCCTGTCAGCATAGTAACTTTCTATAGTCAGAGGTTTTTTTTTTTTTTTTTTTTTTCCATTGTTTGCTCATTTTCTCAGCCTGTTATTGGACTTTTAAACTCTCTGTTAAGGTAAGGGTCTGCTTCCAGTGTGGAGAATGTACTGTCCCAAGCTTCAGGGGTTTTGTGCAGCTGTTTTCAGAGATATTTCTAGGGACCTGTAAGTTTTCAGTTCTACCAAGGTGGTATGATCAAAGGCGAGGTGTTTATTCCTCTCCTGGCCTGTGCTGAGGTCTATGAGTGACCTCAAGCCCTCTTTTCTGCCTTGGAACTGTGAGGAGGACTCCTTCTCGACTGCCACCACAAGCTCCACCATGCCAGCACTCCTCCTCGTCCCAGGATCGCCACCCAGAGCTGCCACCCAGATCCAATCACAGGCACAGCAACGGTGCCAACAACAGCCTCAGTGCCAGCAAAGAGACCCCTGTAATCTTCTGACCAGTTGTTTTGACCCCATTACTGTCTGTGGGCTGCGAGCTCCATAAGTAGCTACTGCTACCGCTCATTCAGTCACTCCCAAGTCTGCTCCTGGTTTGCTGAGGCCCAGTCTCTGCTGGCATGTCCTGTGGTAGACTGCACTCTAGGTTCGTGTGGGTTCTGCTGCTCTAGAATTTGTTTAGAATCATTTTTAAAAAGTATTTGGAGGGTTTGGAGGGGTAGAGCTCAGGCAAATCCCTGCCTTTATTCCACCATCTTGGCTCTACCTCTGGAGCAGTCTTGTAGAGTAGAGGTCCTTGAGCTATGAGAAATGAGAGTCTGAGCATTGGGGCAGGAAGGGACCTTGGAGGACACCCATCCCCCTTGTTTTACAGATGAGGAAATTGAGGTGCACTGATGGGGGCATAACTTGCCTGAGCTCACATGAGCAGTAAGTGGCAGAAATAGCTAGATTCAGTGCCTTGGTCTTCCATCTCCAAGGCAAGTCCTCTGTGCATGGCCCTACCTTCACACTGCCCGCTGTTTGATTGAGCCCATCTATCTCTCCCCTGTCTCTCCCCCACTGGTCTTCTCACCAACCCCCATGGAATTGTGGAACCCCAATAGTCTACGTGACGCCTAAAGGGACAGTTGGTTTTGAAGGTTCCTTGTTGGCTTTAGTGGTCAAGAAATGGCCAAAAAATGGGGCCTGGGAGCCCGAGGTGTGATAAAGTATCCCTGATGTGGCCACAAACCCATCAGTAAGCACGAGCAGAGCAGGGATGTCTTTGGGTCTGAGGTGAGGGGGAGCAACTTGGCTGGCTTGGGATCGGATCCTTGGGGGATTCTTGGATTTTTTTTCTTCTTCTGATCAAATGCCTCCCATAGAAAGCACTTGAACAACTCTCTGTTTGTCCCAGAGACCCCTCAGAGAAACAGTTTGATAAGAAACCCCAAAGGCTGAGAGGAATGTGCTCCCCTAAATCTCCCTGAAGTGCTCAGCCTGTCTCCTTGCACTCTTGTCTGTATTACACTGACACGTGTGTGTGTGTGTGTGTGTGTGTGTGTGTGTTTGAGACAGAGCTACCCTGTTACACCACGAGCCCTGTGAAGGCAAGGATTGGGTCATTTTTCATCTTTGTCACTTGTGGGGCAGCTAGGTGGCACAGTGGATAGAGCACTGGCCCTGGATTCAGGAGGACCTGAGTTCAAATGTGACTTCAGACACATGATACTTACTAGCTGTGTGACTCTGGGCAAGTCACTTAACCCCATTGCCTAGCCAAAAAAAAAACCAACCAAACAAAAAAACATCTTTGTCACTTGTAGTTCTTGAGTGTCAAACATTGGTCCTGTGTCAGATTCACACAGGCCCAACTTCCTTCCATGGCACTTGTCAAAATGTTTGTGGCCCTCACTCGGGGGAGACTGTGGGTCCCATGTTGGTGCTGTCTCCCCTGGGGGCCAGTGCCATATTCCCTTAGCTGGTGGCACATATAGAGCTCTGGACCTGGAATAAGCAAGACTCGAGTTTAAATCTGACTTAAGACATTTACTAGCTGTGTGACCCTGGGCAAGTCACTGAACCTCTGTCTGCCTCAGTTACTTCGGTTATAAAATGGTGACAATAATATCACCTGTGTCCCAAGGTTGTTGTGAGGATCAAATGAGATAATACATGTAAAGCACTTTGCAAGCCTTAAAGCACTTATTAAAAATGTATTACCAATAATAATAATAGACCAGAGATCCCAAACTCCCTTTGCAGCCAGGGGTTTTGTTCCCAGTCGGGCTTGGGATGGATGTGCAGTCCTGGCTGTTCCCCTCTGCACTCCCTAATTTGTTCCTGGCTGCTCTGTTACCTTCTGGAATTAAGGGCTCACTTTGCTAATGAGACCTGTTGACCTCAAGCTGGGGCTGGCATTGACGTGAGTCATCAGGGAAGAACCTTGGCTGTATTTTCTGCCCTCACCCTAGTTTGTCCCTTTGCTACGTATTCCTCCCTGGGCCATGGGTTCTTCTTGTGGGGGTTGGATCGGCTAGTGGCTTGCATCCCCTCTAGCTCGAAATCCAGGGTGTGGAATTTAATGGAATTGGTTAGGATAAGGAGGGGGCATTTTGACATTGCTGAACAGTGGTGTGCTAGGTAGGAAGGCTGGTCTGGAGAACAGCAAACCAGCAGAGGGAGGGATGTTGGGTTCCTGCAGATTCTACATCTGCAGGGTAGCAGCATGAAATGACCATCTGGGCTCCTTCTGACGTCTCTGTGCCCTCCCTGGGGCAGAGCTGCTCGAATCCTCAACGACTTGCTGAGCAGGGGGCTGCATTTTGGGAGTAAGGCACATGAGGGAGGATAATGCCAGCCTGCCATCTGGGCCAGTACCCTGCCTTAGTTAGCAGGCCTATACCTTCCTCTGGATTCTGGGATGAGATTGAGGGCCAGCAGGAGCCTCAGCAGCCAGTGATTTCTGAGCCATGTGTGAGGGTAATGAGTATGAGAGCTGAAGTCTGACCATCAGGCCTCTCCCTCCAAGCCAGTTCTCTCTTCCTTGCCCCAGCCTCCCTCCCTGAGGCCCCAAATGTACACTCACTGGCTCCTGAATATCTCCAGCCAATCGCCAAGCCTCTTATTAAGCGCCTTCTCCTGGCTAGGAATTGTCCTGGGTGCTGGGTGCTGACTTCTCAGCTTCCTGTCAAGGCACAAAAATGAAATGGGATTTGTTGAAGCTTCTAACAGCTTGACAATTTTCGGATGTCAAATAGGAAGGAAAGGAGAAAGGGAGTGCTTTCTCTGTCTCAGGCCCTGGGCTTAGCGTTGCGGATACAAGCAAGCAAAGCTGGCGCCTACCTTCATAGAGCATTTATGTTCTTATGGGGGAGGTAACACATACAAGGAAGTGGTGGTTAATTGATCCATCCTTTCCAGAATGAGTAGACTTGATTTTATAACTGTTGATTCGGTTCCTTTGAAATATTCAGCCTTTCTGAGATCTCTGTTCTGTGGGAAGGGTGGGGGGGGAGACTGTGTGGCCCAGGTCAAGGGGCAGACTTGGGACTTGGAGTGGACAAAGGGAAGTTCATCAGCATGCACAGACATCAGAGGACGGAGATTGCTGCTGTAGTGAATGCCAGGCGTTCTTGGCACCCCAGGAAGCTGCCAGTGGGTAGTGGGTTCAGAGTGGAGGGATGGGCCTGGCTACCCTTCCCCTTCTCTGAGCATCCCGGAACCTGCTCAGACTGTTTTCCCCAGCAAGTGACCTGGGTTTAAAACTCTGTGCATTATAATTTTTACCTTCCCTTCTGCTATGCTGTTGCAGGTGGAACCATGGAGACCACCATGGGGTCTGCGAGCATCTTGGAGGTCTGCACCACCAAACTGATGGAGTTTGTTTCCAATGTGGACAACAGAGACATGGTGTGGCTGCAGGAGACTAAGGAGGAGGCCCAAAAGATGTTCTCTAGGTAAATCCAGGGCTGAAGGGCCCATGTGGGTGCAGCAGCAAGGGGCTGGTAACCCAGGGCACAGGACACCAGGCAAAAACTGACTTTGAACTGAAAGATCATTGACAGAAACATACATTTAAAAAGGGGAGAACCTTATGGGTAACCTTGCCGCTGTAGCAAGGCAGAGCCAGAGGAACTGAGAAAGAGGAACATGTTTGTCTGTGGCCCATTCCACGCCTGCCAAAGTTCTTCCGATTTGGGGGTGTTTTCCTTCCTTTCCTCCCATCCCTTCCCCTCTCCTCTTCTCTTCTTTTCTTCCCTTCCTTCCCTCCTTCCTTCCTTCACCCCTCTCTCCCTCGCTCTGTGCCAGGCATTGTACAAAGCTCAGAGAATAAGATGCTTTCTTCTTTGTGGAATAGATCTTGTGTTCTAAAGGGATCTGACTAGGCCTGAGCACCTCCCTCCCCTCATTCTGGACATGCCCTTCATATACCCCATCAGTGGCAGAAACTGGCTTCCCCAGGGCATTGCCCATCATTGAGCTCGCAGTCTGCCAGCTACCCCATTTCTCCTCCATGTGCCATGGTGACCATTTGATGCTTCTCCTAACACTCAGATTCCATAATTCCTTGCTGCCCTCCCCTCCCTCCAAGACCCCATTCCCTTTCCTCTTCTCATTCACTAGCTTCTCCCTACCCCCCCATCCTCAGTCTCTGCCCTGCTCGTCCTTGAGTGCCAGGTGAGGAGGAGTGATATCTGGAGCTGGAAGGATGGAAGCTGGGCAGAGCCCCTCTAGTCTAATCCCCTCATTGTGCAGTTGGGAATCCTGAGGCCCAAAGACTTGCCCGAGGTCACTCAGGTCATAAATATCAGAGGTAAAATTTGAACCCAGGGCCTCTATCTTCCCTAGACCATGCAGCCTCCCTCAGTGTGGGCAGTGGGGATTCCTGACCTACTGCCAGGGCTGAGGTGGCAGGGGAGGAGGCTGCCAGAGTGGGGCCAGTCAGATCCCTGTTCTCCCACAGGGATGAGGGTTCTACCAGATATGGGCATCTTAGGGTGACCTAAGTACAATTCAGGCTAAAGGGACCTTTCTGGCCTAGTCTGGGCACAGCATGGAACCAGCTGTGTCCAGAACTCAGTTATCTGGAGCTTCAAGAAGGTTGGCAGAATGCTTTACAAATGTTAGCTCCTTTGATCCTTAGAACAGCTCAGGGGGTAGGCACTGTTATCATCCCCATTTTACAGGGTCACACAGCTGCGAAGTGGCCAAGGTGAGATTCTAACTCGGGGTTCTTGACTCCCAGTCCAGTACCCTGTGCCACTTAGCTGTCCTCTGTGTGACTGCATCTGTGAGGAAATGTGTCCCAAGTCCCAGACAGACTTTGAGCCTCCAACCTGGTGGGGGCCTGGAAAGAGCCCTGGGCTCCCGGACAGAAGAACTAAAGCAAATCAGATGACCTCCCTGGGCCTCAGTTTCTTATCTTTAAGATGAAGGATTTGGCCTAGACAGATCCCCCAGATTGGGTCCAGGTCTAACCTTCTCAAATGCTGTAAAGATAGGATTAGGCTTTGCAGAACCCCTGGTGAGTAGGTGAGGCTGCCACATAGCGGGAGGAGCGAGGAGATTTGCCCTCCTTTCTGACAAGCAGGAAGGCCCGGGGGCTCTTCCAGGCCAAAGGGGCTATTGATGGGGAGGTGACCAGTTTAGATGTTCTGTGACTCTTCCTTTCTCCTCTTTGCCCCTCAGTGACTCCACAGTGGAGCCTGAGCTGATGCCCAAAACGCCATCTCAGAGGAACCGCCAGAGGAAGAAACAGTTTTCCTCCATTCAGGATAAAAACAAGCCCCCAACCAGGAAAAGGTAGGTGACTCCTGGGGCCCAGGGCCAAGCGGGCAGGGCAGGACAGCAGAGACAGGCCTGGGTTTGATGTCAGTGTCTGGCTCTGCCCCTCCTCAGCTGTGACACCTCCCTAGGCCTCTGTAAATAGAAGGCCTCCAAGGTCTCGTCCATTAAAATGGTGGTCCCGTGACAATGGTAGAGTGCTTGGCACTGTGTTCGGTGCTGTGGGAAATATGGAAGAAAGTACAAGATGTCGAGGGGGGAGGGGACCCAGACAAGAAGCAAGGGGAGGGCAGGGGATGATCTTGGTGCTGGTGTGTGGGCCCTCAAGAGGGCCTAGGACCATGGATTTGGAGCTGGAAGGGACCTTGGAGGTCCTTGAGTCTAAGACCTTCATTTTTAGAGATGAGGAAACTGAGGTAAACAGGTAAAGTGACTTGCCCAGGGTCACCCAGCTGGGAAGTGTCTACGGCTGGATTTGAACTCAGGCCTTCCTGACTCCAGGCTCGGTGCTTTATCCACTGAAAGTTCCTTGAGGACAGGGATTGTGTTTTTGCCTTTCTTTGTATCTCTAGCACCTTAGCACAGTGCATGGCACGTGATAGGGACTTCCCAAATGCTATTAGACTGACGGACAGACCCTCCTCGATTGGCGGTGCCTAAGGCCATAGTCTCAGGGCCCCGCTTTCCGTCTCATGCAGGTTGTCCCGCCATGCGAGCCGAAGGAGCAGTCAACACAACCAGCAGCTCCTTCGGAACAAAGACAGGCTGGAGAAGCTAGTTATGGTGGCAGCTGACAACAGCTCTTTCCGTCGTGGGACTCGAACCCAAGCAGCAGCAGCAGCCTCCTCACCCCCTGAATCCCCCACGGTGCTCCCCAAAAAGCCTGTGAACCTGGCAGCAATGGATGGGCTTGTGCCTGTTGTAGAGATTATCATCAGCGACCAGCAGAGTGCTGAGAATTTCCTGGTGGCACACAAGGCCAAGACAGCTGCCCTCAGCTTGGGCTGCAAAGATGAATCGGTGCCCAAAAAGCAAGCAGAAAGCCACCCTGAGCCAGCGCCTGGGACCTCCTTGGTGGTGCCCACTGAGGTGCCTGAGGTGAAAGCTGCGGGGCTGGCTTGGTCTGTGGCCAAACTCCAGATAGCCCAGCCAGTGGCCGTGACAGCCAAGCCAGGCAGGGCACCCTCTTCTCCAGGAGCACAGACCCAGCCAGAGACTGAGCTCCCCTTGGACTTGCTGGAAGGCCCCCAGACCCAGATAGGCCCCTGCTGTGACCGGCACTCGGTGTGTAGGAGACTGGTGCTCAAATCCTCACAAGCCCATGGGGCTTCCTTGATTTGTAAGGCCTCCGTGGTCCCGAAGACCACGTCGAGCTCTGCTCGATGGTCCTCCAGGAAGCTGGCCCAGAAACCGGCAGTCACCGGCTGCATCATCTGTAAGTTGTTGGGCATTTCCTGGGCGCTGAAGCTCAATCCCTTTGTCCCTCGCAGTCTATCTGCCCTCTGCCTCGTTTTAGCAAAGATGAGGGTGCCCCAAGCACTTGGATTCCTAGAATGTCTGCCCGGGGAGGGGATTCCAGGATGGAAGAAGAGTTCCTAGAAGAGGAAAGTGGGAAGGAGGGGAGCCCCTCACCCATCCCTAGACTTGGGGGATTGTCTGAGCCCCCTCCTTACTGTGACATGATAGAAGTCCCTCTGGGAGGGCCAGAGGAGGGATTGGAGCCGCCTCTGGCTCCTGGTCTCTGCCCTCCATGTGACCTGGGAAGGCTGGCCTAGCAGAGGATGTGGTTGGAACTGTCTCCCAAGGTGGAAAGGCTGTGGATAGTTCCTTGTGTCCACGAATCAGCCTGATTAAATTCCGAGGGATTTGTCGTTAGCCCTGTGGGGTCCTGGATGGAGCCCTAAACTGGGAGGCCTTAGCACCTAGGTCATCTCTGGGCAAAGTCACTTTTCTTGACTCAGTTTGCCCATCTATGAAATGAGAATAATAGCAGTGCCTGCCTGATAGTGTTGTGAGGATCAGGGCATTGACAGACTTCTTAGCTCCCCTCGTAGTGAGGGGGAGGGCAGAGAGCAGAGGACTTGTGCCCGTGTCCTCCTGTGGATCCTCCATAGAGCACCCTCTCCACCTGCTAGAGAGTCTCCCCTCCACTGCCTTCAGCATCCCGTGGGAACCTGTTGTGCTCAGGCTGCCTGCCTAGGGGGTCTCTCTCTTTCTTGATTTCAAAGGGAACAAGTAAATAACCCTATGGGGTGGGAGGCGGTTTAGGAGACACAGACTGGGGACGAGGCCTACAAGGAATGTCAGATAGCTAGCAGACGTCTCCTGAGTCCTTCCAGCTCATAGCCTTTCACTGAGCTACCCTACCTGCTGTTAGACATTGGATGCCAAAGACCTGCCTGAAATAGTTGGGTTAAGAGATTTTTAGGTCCTGTGTTAAGAACCAGGTTGATTTAGAAAGGCCCACAGAGGAGTAACTTTGACGTAGTTCTGAGGCCTTAGTGACATAAGAGGGTCAGCGTTGGATCAATCTGACTCTACCTCAGGGCCTTTTTATCCTCGAATACAGTGCAGAGGCAGCCATGAGGCCCATGTTTTGGGACCCTTGGAAATCTCTTGGAGATGAGGGATGAGCCCCTCCTAGGTAGGTAAGCGCTCCCTATTTGAGCAGTTGTGGCATTGGCAGTAGCAGGAGAAAAGAGGGAGGGGGAGTGTATCAGACACAGAGATTAGTGCCATTATTGGGTCGTTTCAGTTGTGTCCCACTCTCCCTGACCCCATTTGGAGTTCTCTTGGCAGAGATTCTGGAGTGGTTTGCCATTTCCTTTTCCAGCTCATTTTACAGATGAGGAAACTGAGGGAAATGGTGTTAAGTGACTTGCCCAGGGTCACACAGCTAGTAAGTTGCTGAGGCCAGATTTGAACTCAGGAAGAGGAGTCTTCCTGACTCCAAGCCTAGCATTTTATCTGACACCTAGCTGCCCTGATTAGTACTAGGGAAACAGGTGTTCTAGGACCCTGATCCAACGTGACAAGTGGGGAGAAGTGAGGGAAATGTGGCCACAGCGCAAAAGCTCCCTGGGGTGATAAAAACAGTGTAACTGAAGCTCAAGCCAAGCCTTTGCATGTGCAGGCTTTGAAAGGGATGGCAAATGCTCAGTATCCCAGCAACAGCACCGTTCTGCACAAGGAGGTCTTTCCGCAGGGCTTGGGGATGAGGTGGGGAGTGTCAAGTTGGTCCCCACCAGATAAGGGCCCTTTGGGATTCTGGATGTCAGGAGCTTAGCTAATAGGTCAGTGAACTGGGAAAAGCAGCAAGCTAAAGTTGAAGGAGGCCTGGGCTGGCTACTCCCTACCTGTGTGTCCTTGGCCATGTCACTTTTCCATTGTGGGCCTTAGTTTTCCCATCTCTAAAATGGGAAGGCAAGCCTAGATGGCCTGAGAGGCCCCAGCTGTGTCCAGACCCAGTGATCCCAAGGGGAAGCAGGGAGAGTAGTTTGGGGCAACTCCAAATCTGGGATTGCCTCTTGGCTTGCATTTTTTGCTCTTTGGCTTTCAAGGTGTCTTCCTTCTGATTGCCTTGCCACGGCGGGGGGGGGTAGGGGGGAGGCGGGGAGCAGGTGGCTTGGTCAGATACTACAAAACAATTCAGGAAAAGCCAGGCTTGAAAAGTTCCCTGCGTTCTCCTCTCTGGCTCTTCCTTCCCAAAGGCTGGTAGGAAGCTCTGGGCCCAGTTTTTGATGTTCAGATCAGGTAGAGTGAACTAGGCAACTGGTCCTCCAATTTGGGCAGGGAGCTGTGCCTGGGGCCTTTTGGCCCTTGTGACATGGTGGTAGAGGTTGCCGAGGCCCAGAAGGAACCATTAGCATCGTCTTGGTTGGTGACTCTCCTCCTTTTCTTGGCTCATGGAGCTGAGGAGTTGCCACACCCTGATGGGTGAGGGTGGCAGGTCTGTGAGAGTAGGCCCCATCCAGTTTGTGACCCCCCGCAATGAGGACTTGAGCCAGTGACTTAGGCCAACACCTTCGTTTTGCAGGTGGGGGAGCTGAGGCCTATTGACAGGAGGGGGCTTGGCCACATTTCCCCAGCCAGTACATAACAATCCTGGAGCTTGATTCCCAAACTAGGACTGTCTCCACAAGACCACATGGTCTCAAGGGGGACTTCAGAAAGATTAGCAGGGAGAATGGAAGATGAAACCTGGGAGGAACAGTTCTCCTGAATCCCTGCCGTCCCAGGCTGTAGAAGCTTCTGGGAAAAGAATTGAGTGGTTCCCATCTGACTTGTGATTATCATTAATAAACCATTTCTGTCACGCCTTCGAGATGCTTTCTATACATTGTCTCATTTGACCTTCCCAGTACCATCTGAGGGTAGGTACTACAG